CCTTGGACTTAATCTACTCGAGAAGCAGCAGGTTTTGTGTAGGTGAAGCTGTTTCTTGTTTGAAACATAAAACCGCAGCACATGCTGGCTGCAGTTGCTCGGCTGGTGAGTTGGAGTCTCATAAAACATTGGGAGCAGCGGCACTTTCTTTGAAGGGTGTGAAGAACCTAGGGGAGAGAAAAAAATCTTTTCTTCTGGAGGCTTGGACTTAATCTACTCGAGAAGCAGCAGGTTTTGTGTAGGTGAAGCTGTTTCTTGTTTGAAACATAAAACCGCAGCACATGCTGGCTGCAGTTGCTCGGCTGGTGAGTTGGAGTCTCATAAAACATTGGGAGCAGCGGCACTTTCTTTGAAGGGTGTGAAGAACCTAGGGGAGAGAAAAAAATCTTTTCTTCTGGAGGGATGTGCTGCACTTGGGCCTCCTTCCCACCATCCAGAAATGGATCTGGCTTTGGTTTTGAAGTTGTATTGGAGCATCCCTTGAGTGCTGCAGATGGGCCCGTGCCAGAAGCTGTCCCTAGCTGCCAGCGATCAGCTGAGGAAAGGCAAACCCCTCCCTGGGCAGCGACCTCTGCTTCTGCCCAGCTTTCTGCTTCCCTCTGAACCGATTGCCACAGCAAGTTTTGCTTGGAGGAGGTCAGTGTCCAGCTGGTGGATGGCCTTGTGCTGCTGCTTCTGAACGTGAGTTGGTAGGACTCCAGCTGGGAAGGTGGGAGCGGGCCTTGCTGTGGTCGCTGCTGTGACAGCACAGCGTGACCCAGCTCCGACCACCCCTTGGAGTCTGGACGGTGGTGTCTGAGAAGTCAGCCTGGCCAGGATGGGTCCGTGCAGGAAGCAGCTGTTCCATGGCGATAACTCTCTCACCTCCTGTTTGTGTTATTTTTTTCTGTTTTCTGGCTTTTCAGCTTGAAGTTGGAATGTGACAAACTAGCCAGTGAGAAATCGGAGATGCAGCGTCACTATGTCATGGTAAGGACCGGCCCCGGCAACCGAGAGTGCGTGGGCGTGCGGGTGGGCGCTCCAGCGGCGAGCAGGCGCCTGTGCCTGGGTTGTGCCTGTCAGGGAGCCGTCGCCCCGCGGAGCGGCAGGGCTGGTGTGGGCGTCTCTGCAAGCGGGGCATTTCTGTTCTGCATTGTCTGTGTGCAGTGGATGGTTCAAATGTGGGCAAGTAGCAGAGAATTGTTGGAGATAGAAAACTGATGGACACAGTGGTGGCTGCTTGATGGGTGGTGGAGTCCTTGACCGTGCCACTGACTGGCTGCTTGACTGTCCTTCCTGCGCCCTGGGGGAACTGACAGCTCTTACACACTGAGAAGGAGCTGCAAGGTGCTGGTGTGCAGGTGTCTGGGAACGCGGGGAAGGTCGTGGCCAATGAAAGACAAAGCAGTGCTCGGAGAAGTTGTGAAGCTGGGAAACCCCACAAGCCTGGTGGGAGTTGGAAGCAGAAACCAGCTGCTGTGTGAGAGCTAAACCCTCTGCGCCTTTTCGTGACTCAGGCAGCCTTGCAGAGCCATGGTATAAAGTGCTGGCATGTCTCACCCATGCACGTGTCCCAGCACAAAGTGTGCGCATCTCCGGGCAGTGCCTGGTGAAGGCAGGAGATGTGGTGGCACATGTGGGCAGCAGGCTTAGCCATAACTCTCTGAAGAGAAATCTGTCAGGAAACAGCTGTGTTCTTGCAGACAGGGTGATGGTTCACCTGCCAGGTAAGGCCTCTGTCTTCCCACGTGTGGAAGAGCCCTTGTAGCAGAGGGGAGGGATGCCAGATAAGGCCATGGTCTGTTCCTTTCCTATCAAGGAGTTAACAGAATGTTGTGATACTGTCCGTAAAGATGAGCTGGTGCCTGCTTGCCAGCTGCTGCACCTCCCCTGGAAGGAAGAGATAAGATGTAGAAATTAATACAACAGTTCTTCAGAGGAGAGTTAGGACTTTAAAATCTGAAATAAGGGAGCTGGCCCCTCCATCCTCCTGTACTGCCTGTGTGTCCAGTCTCCAAGACTGTGGGGACCAAGGTGTGCTTGGGGCTGGGGCCAAGGAGAAGAGGTCACAGCTTTCCTTGTAGATTAATGGAGAAGCTGCCCCACTCTCACTGATAAGTGATTGCTTCCTGGGCTTTGCAGCCTGCATGGAGACTCATCTCCAGGTGTGTCTGAGATTTTTTTTTTTCCCTTAATGCTGACAGTCACCAGAATTGATTCAGGATACCATCAGCGGGTGGGCAGCAGAGGGGAAGGGCTGTTGCTCGTCGTGCAGCTCTCGAGGTGCTGCAGGTGCAGCAGCTCCTGGCTCGTCTGCGTGACTGAGCTGGAGTCGCATAGAGCTGCTGTCGCTCCGCACCACGGCGAGTCACGGGAGGCAAAGAGGAGGGTTTCTGTGAATGTGCAAAGCTGCTCTGATTTTTGAATAAGTCACAATTAGCAGCTCGGGGTCAGCCTCCTGCTTCCCGCTCAGTCTTCAGAATGCAAAGAAGCCTCAAGAGCCAGCAGCAGTGTTAGAGCAGACCGAGATTGTGGTGATACCAAGCTGGGCGCTTCTCAGACTTGTGGCGTTGGTATCAAAATGCCAGTGATCTTCTCCTTGAATTAAATGAGCACAGATGTGGATTTTTCTTTCCCTTCCGAAGAATCAGGATTGCAGCCTGCAAGCTGAGGGAGGAGATTTCTATAAACTCTCAAACATCAGCCTTAAAACAGCTTCTTCCATGGGTCAGGAATTAGTTTCTCCTGCCAATAGATTGCTCTGTAGCTGCATGTTGCTGCCGTTTGTGGGTTTTTTGTGCATGTTTGGGTTTTTTGTTGTTCCAAACAGCTGGAGCTATGTGCAGCTGGATGTGTTACTTGCTAGATGAAGCCCAGTTTGTGATCTCTTCTATTTGCTGCTGAAGCAGCCACGTGGGCTTTAGGATATTCGCCAGGCAAAGCTTGTAGAGTCAGGCTGCCTCTCTTTTGGCCGTGGACATGGAAGTCTGCAAAGCCCTGAGACTTTTTCCAGGTTTGAAGCAGCATTGCTCACCTCGCCTTGGTGCCGACTGCTGAAAGCTGCCCGCGAGGGATGTTGCATGAGGCCTGGTCAGCAAGTTCCTGGGTCTCTTTCTGCAGCAGTGTGAGGCCGGAGCAGGGCACACAGGGAGTGCCTGGGCTTGGTGCCTCTGCCTTAGACCTGGAGAGGGTTTCTGTCTGTGTTTGCCTCCTGTCTTTGTTTCCTAGGGCTGGCCTCTTCCCTCCTTCCATCCTTGCCCAGCCTTTGTAGAAGACCTTGCTAGGAAAGTAGTAGCAATTCCCAGCACTGCTGTATGGAGCCTCTTTACCTGGTGGAGTCTTGACTTACAATTTCTTTTGTTCTCTTCTTCCCTGCCCTACAGTATTACGAGATGTCCTACGGGCTGAATATTGAAATGCACAAACAGGTAGGGGGACGGCATTTCCAAGTGCTCTAATTCATGAGGAGGGTGGGTTGTCTGCTGTGCTTTGCCCTCTGTCGATTCAGTGGTGTTTAAGGAACTAGAAATGGCATGAGCCGGAGCTGCCTTCAAAACGCAGGGACCCCCCACCTTTCAGGATCGCAGTGCCAGACTGAGGGCTCTCACCCTGGGCTGGAGCACCAGGCAGGGCGTGCAGCTGTGGCTCAGCGTCGGTCAGCAGATGTGAGTCTGGTGTGGAGGGCAGGAGATGATCCTGGGTCCCTCCCAACCCTCCTCCTAGGCCCCGGTTGGGTTCCTGGCCCTGCCACCTTCCCTGGTGCCCGAGAAGGCTGCTTGTTATCGCCGTGACATGAGAAACACCCCTGGCTCCCACCAGGCTCTGCTGCAGTCAGACCAGAGCGCGCTCCTCTTGGGCTGCGATTAGGTGATGTGACAGCAGACCTTCTAAGGGCCTCCTTGTCATGGAGACTGCTGCAGCCTGGATAAGTTTGTTCATTACCCTCACTGGTGCTTAAGCTGTTAATTATCCCTGGTGGCTAATTACCTGTGCTGTTAACAACATGAGCCTCCTCTGAGCCTGACTTTGTCTGGCTTCAGCTTCCAGTCATAAAGTCATCTGTGTGTCGTGGCTCAGTTATAAGCCTCTTAGCACAGTTCTGCCCCCCACAAAGGCACTTGGTGCCTCCAATCCCATCACCCTTGGTTAAGCTCACCAGACCAGCTTCCCCAGTAAAGGATCTGAGCCGCGAATCCTCACTGCTGTCACAGGAACTATCTCCCAGCCTCGTCCACTCCCCTGTGGTGCTGGTGAGGCGCCGTCGGCTGGTTTTGGTGCACACCTAAACCCTTTGGCCCTGTGTTTCTTTTGACTCCATTGGAAAGTGGTTGCAAAGGGCTGGTGGCTTTGCTCTTTCTCAGGAGAAAAACATTTAACACCCTAAAATTTGCCACTTGCTTGTAAAAGGCTGGTGAAGAAGCTGCCTGGTACCTGTGGTCTCCCTGAATAGCCCGCAGCTCAGCCGTGGGCAGGCTGGCAGCGGGCAAACGCCTGCCTTTGGGGAGGGGGAGGCTGAGGACGCTGAGCAGCCAGTCTTTGGGACAGAGTGGGGGTCTTGGTGGCAGCAGCACACGTGTCTGTCTGTGTCCTTATGGCAAACGTAATTCGACGCATCCCCATTTCATCTCTGGTTGCTCCCAACTTGTTAAATGAATATCGGAGACCTGGAGAGGGAAGAGAACATTGAAAACTTGCTCTTTGCAGGCAGCAGCACTGGTTCATTTAACTCTGCAGGGAAGGGCCCTGGGAGTGAGATGACCCCTCCGTGAGGGGCAGTGTGTTTTCTTAGGGCCATTTGGGGGCTCGGGCCCTGCCTGGGGAGGGGGTAAGGTGAGGCAGCTGCTGCTGAGGGTGGTCAGTCCTGAGCTGCCTGATGCCTTTCCTCTCCATTCTTCCCACCTTCTAGGCTGAAATCGTCAAGAGGCTAAATGGGATTTGTGCGCAGGTTCTGCCCTACCTTTCACAAGAGGTGAGTCTCTGGCTCAGGGGCATGTTGGCAGCGGGAGCAGAGGCCCCTGTCCCGCTGCGGGGCAGTGTGAGACGCCGCAGCCCCGGTCTGGTAAACCTTGTTGCTTGCTGTGAGCCCCGTGCAGGACCAGCCCTTCAGGATGGGTTTAGCCTGGAAGCCTTCAAACAGCTCCCCAGGTGTGGTGCAGTGGCCAACGTGTCCATCCGTCCCCTTTGTTGATGGCTGTGGACAAAGATGGGCTCTGTTCTCTCCTGCCATGATTCCTGAGTCATTGGCCACTTCTGCATGGGTGGTGGGAGCTAATTGGGGGAGGGGGGGCGCGTTTAAAAAAATACCTCCATATGGCTCCTCCTTGAGATCTGGTTCTTTCGCCTCATTAATTAATGCAGCTGATGGGCTCCTCCCACTCCCCTGAGAAGTTAATGGGGAGGGCTCGGAAGTTGCTGCCTGATGCAGGAGGACGATGAAGCACCTCTGGTATCTGTCCATCTCCCCACACAACCCCACAGAGGTTCCATGGCTGTTTTTTGGTCAGGACTGGCTGTGGGGTGGAGGCTGTGTTTCTTGATCTGGGTTATCTGTGGAGTTGGGGGACAGGCTGTTTGTTCCCACCCACCTGTTCTCCGGAAAAACAAAGTGGCTTGCTGATCAGATCGGAGCTGCCTATTAACTAGGCCACCACGAAACCTTTTGCATCTTAATGCAGCCCCGTCCCCTGCCCCAACCCTGTCCTGTGGCCAAGATGGGAAGAAAAATCCACTTGCTGGAGTGCAGTGTGCTTGTGCTCTCAGAGGAGCAAGGACAGTTGTCCTTTAAGTCTTCAGGCACGTGATACAGCTGTCTTTCCTGCCTGTGTTTGGAGCAGCCGTGCTGGGCTCTTCTACAGCAGCATCTTCCAGCTGCTGCCATTGGGACCTGGAATGTGTCCCAAGGAGTGAAGAGCTTCCGAAGAGCTGCTGATTTTAGGGCTTGTTTTGTTTGTTAGGAGGCCTTGCTTTGTGTCAAGTATGGGTAGGAGAGGGGAGGCAGGGTGAGAGGCACTGCCCACCTTAGAGCCCTTCTGGCCACAGATCGCTGTGCCTTTGCAGAGCAGGACAAGGATGGGAGCAAGAGGGGACCTGCTTAACCCTGTGTTGAGGAACTGGAATGAGACAAGCGTGCCTCCTTCCCTGCTCCTCGCTACCGTGGTCCTCAGTGCTATAAGGTCCTTGTCACAAATGAAGTGGTGCAGGTGTCCCCAGCTGTGGGGTTAACCAGCCTCTGTGCCCTGACATCGTGGCCCTAGCAGCTGAGATAACGCACACTTGTGTCAGACCTGGCAGGGCTGGGTCCCTCTTCTTCCCTGTGATACTAGAAGTGATCCTGAATTCCTCCCTTCTCTCCACACCAGCATCAGCAGCAAGTCCTGGGAGCCATTGAACGCGCCAAGCAGGTCACAGCGCCAGAACTGAACTCCATCATCCGTGTACGTGATGCATGTTTAGTTTGGGTTCCGCGGGTCAGGAATCTGCTTTTGGCCTTTGAGACAGAGCTGGGCAGGGGCTCGTGACGGGGGATATGCTCCGCGTGCTGGGAGCAGGCTGCTCCACGTGCAGTGCTGCAGCCATGCTGGCCCTGCCGGCGCGGAGCTGGTTTTATCCAGACTTGTTAAAGATGTGGGCATGGGTTTGCAGGGGAGTGCAGATTCCTGCTCTGTCCCAGCTTTGGTTTTGAGAAGGAAGTGCAGCAGCTCCTTGACATGAAAACACCATCTGTTCTTGGTCAAGGTCAGGAGGGCTTTAACCACATCCTTGGAGCGTGCCAGAGTCTGAGGCCAGATGTCCTGTGGGTTAGGGGCTGTGTGTCGCGCTGGGGACACGCTGTTGAGTCTTCTCTTGAGGCTGTTGCAGCCCAAAGACTCTAGAATCT